AGAGGAGTAGGTGCAATGGAAATTGTTGCAATGGATATGAAGGTGAGCAGTGTGTCAGTTTCTTATTTCTCTCCAATTTTATTGCTTTACTGTTGCACTTTTTTAAGATTCTTGTCATATAGTCTTGAATTTTCCGTTTGAGAGAAATAATACCTATCTTGGTCACATAGACTGATAATGTACAATTTCAGCAACGTGGTTTATACCTCGCTCGCCAGCTATCATTCCGCGGTGTATCTTTCACGGTGCAGGAAGTTCCCCTCTCAGATGAATTTGTAAAGATCTATGATGACTCTGTAAAGTTGTGGTTGGAGTGTCGACGACAATTCCAGGTACATAAAATCTCACGATTACTCTTCTTGACCATAAAGTTGATCCACTGCGTTGCAGAATGTTCTGAGTGCTATGACTGGTGAAGAACGATCGTCTTGTAAACAACTGTGGGGACAATTTTGGGCTTGCCATCAGAGGTTTTTCAAGTATCTCTGCATCGCTGCTAAGGTAAAGAATTTGGCGATGACTTTCGGTCTACGTTCTTTTAATTTTCATGCTTTTTCTTCTTTTACTTGTAAATCCCAAGCACGGGCAGCGTCTTCAGTCTTGAATTTTTCTTGAAGTTTCGATTCTGATCAAGCGCCAAATTTCTAGGTTGACGCTTGTGTGCAGATGGCTCGTGATGCGATCAAGGCTAACAAATGTGTTGTGATTGGCCTACAGTCCACCGGTGAAGCACGAACATTGGAAGCTCTGGAAGATATGGGCGGCGAATTGACCGAATTTGTTTCCACTGCAAAGTAAGCTTATTAAAATCATGTGCTTTCCACCCAGTACGAACTTTACATTTGCAGAGCTGTTCTCCAAGGCTTGATTGAGCGACATTTTCCTGTCGATGTGGGCAGCATTGATATATACCGAGACTTTGACTTCGGGTTGGACGATTTTGAGCGAAAGAGGCGTAAAAGTAATTCTTCCGTCAACTTCATTAATCAGTGATTCTAATTGTTACTTTAGTGCGAAACGGTGGCAGTGATTTCATGGATCAGCTGGGATTTGGTTCATCTTCGTTTTCACGTGGATCATCAATTGAACCTCGGGTACGTTCAGTTTCTTTCTCAGTTGGGCCAGTTTTCTTATAGTGTCCATCTCTTAATCACAACTATAGTTTTATCTTGGGCGGTGCTGCTTACGCTCCAAAATCGATTACTTTTGCCATGTTATCAATTGTCTAAATGTTGCAAATACGGTTTTGCCTCGTCTTTGGACATTACATCGCATTTCAGGCGAAAAGGTCACGCCCTGATGAAGACCAGAACTCGACCACGTCGTCTTCAAGCGACGAGGATTATGGTGACTTAGACCAAGATTCCGGATTGGAAGATGATGAAGATGTCTCGGAAGGCGAATCCAATCTAGGTAGCAGCGTTCCTTGTTCCTCTTTGTTTATATCCCAATATACGGACTTCTATGGATAATGGTTCAGAAGATGGAGATGACTGGTTGAAGGCCTTGCTTGCTGAAGCAGCATCTTCTAGTTCGGACGAAGATGATCCGACGGATAAGAATCAGGCTGAGAATAATGGCAGTGGAAATGAGGTAAAGTCGTCAGTTCTGTTTCGTTAATTGTTTGTGAATGTCGATTATAGGCTAATGGTACTGATCAGAAAGGAAGTGCTGGTGAAGATGAGTTTAATCCATTCGATTGTGATTT